CTGGGTCTTGGGGGAGATTGATTCCCAATTTTCTGAGAAAGCGCCATATTGATTTCCAAAGTGGTTGTACAAGCTTGCATTCCCACCGGCAGAGAGTTGGCATAGGAGATCACTTCCTAAATATAACACCAGTAGCACAGACACTGAGAGAAACAATCAATCAATGGGACCTCTTGAAACTGAGAAGCTTTTGTAGAACAAAGGATACGGTCAACAAGGCAAAGTGACAGCCTACAGAATGGGAAAAGGTCTTCACCTATCACCTTCACCCCTAGCTCCACATCCTCTCCAGCATAAGCTGTCTTCAGTGTTTTTGATCTTAGCCATTCTGACAGGTGTAAGGTGGTATCTCAGAGTCATTTTGATTTGCATTTCCCTGATGATTAGGGATATTGAGCAATTCCTTAAATGTCTTTCAGCCATTTGAGCTTCCTCTGTTGAGAATTCTGTTTAGTTCTATAGCCCATTTCTTAATTGGACTGTTGGGCATTTTGATGTCTAATTTCTTGAGTTCTTTTTGTTGTGTTTTTTTGAGAGAGGGTTTCTCTGTGTAGCTTTGTGCTTTTCCTGGATCTTGCTCCTAGACCAGGCTGGCCTCGAACTCACAGAGATCCGCCTGGCTCTGCCTGCCGAGTGCTGGGATTAAAGGCATGCTCCACCACCGCCCAGTTCTTGAGTTCTTTATATATTCTGGATATCAGTCCTCTGTCAGATGTGGGGTTGGTGAAGACCTTTTCCCATTCTGTAGGCTGTCACTTTGCCTTGTTGACCGTATCCTTTGTTCTACAAAAGCTTCTCAGTTTCAAGAGGTCCCATTGATTGATTGTTTCTCTCAGTGTCTGTGCTACTGGTGTTATATTTAGGAAGTGATCTCCTATGCCAATGCGTTCAAGACTACTTCCTACTTTCTCTTCTATCAGGTTCCGAGTAACTGGATTTATGTTGCGGTCTTTGATCCACTTGGACTTAAGTTTTGTGCACTGTGACAGATGTGGATCTATTTGCAGCCTTCTACACGTTGATATCCAGTTATGCCAGCACCAATTGCTGAAGATGCTTTCTTTTTTCCATTGTACATTTTTTGGCTTCTTTGTCAAAGATTGTATGTTCATAGGTGTGCGGATTAAATGTCAGTGTCTTCAATTCGATTCCATTAGTCCACATGTCGGTTTTTATGCCAGTACCAAGCTGTTTTTATTACTGTAGCTCTATAGTAGAGCTTGAGATCAGCTAAGCATATGACCTAGCTCTGTCTGTTAGCCTAGTGGAATGGGGAGGGGTGAGAATTCCATAACAACTCTTAGAATAGTTCCTGGAGACATGGAGGGAGTCTATCTTCTGTTACACACTGGTCTTTTCAGTCATAATTTCTGATTGATAATTTTGTCTCTCCAAATGTGGTTCAAGGATGCGGGCTGTTGACATGGCTCGGCAGGTAAAGGCACTTATGGCCAAGCCTGAGAACCTGAGTCAATCCCCAGGACCCACATGGTGGAAAAAAATTGACTCCCACTGGTTGTCCTTTGACCTCTACAGGTACCATGGTACAAGCACATGTGCATACACAAAATGTGGACTAACGTGGGCAATAAATAGCCTATAAGGAAACTGCTGTTTTGAAGGACTTGGGACATGTATAGAAAACATTAGGTTTCTCTTGGTAAATAAGCAACAGCCATGCACTTACCCAAAACAAGCACAGTTCCAGGAGTTGGGAGGCTGATTCAAGATTGTACATAGGGTGAAGCCAACATAGGGTGCATAGGGTGTCAGTCTGTCTGTTTGCATGCTCTTCATGCCCACCCCCCATGATTACAGAGAAGTCAGGCATCACTTCTGCATCTTCCCCTTCAAATAGCCCTTCTGTCCCTGGTGACACCTTGTTTTTAGCTCCCAGATTATAATTGTAGACAAATCTTAAATAAATGCACAAATTTAAAAGGGAAAGTAGTTATGTACATAAGGAAATATATAGTCACATTATAAATTGACCAGAGAATAATTTATTAAATCTTATTTCAGAATTAAAATTTTTTGAAGGGAATTTTTCCAGATGCTTGAAAAATTCACTGGAGCGTGAGTTTAGGAAGTTCCTGAAAATTAGAATAAGAAGGATGCGGGCTGTTGACATGGCTCAGGCAGGTACAAGGATGCAGGCTGTTGACATGGCTCAGGCAGGTACAAGGATGCGGGCTGTTGAGATGGTTCGGCAGGTACAAGGATGCAGGCTGTTGACATGGCTCGGCAGGTAAAGGCACTTATGGCCAAGCCTGAGGACCTGAGTCAATCCCCAGGACCCACATGGTGGAAAAAAATTGACTCCCACTGGTTGTCCTTTGACCTCTACAGGTACCATGGTACAAGCACATGTGCATACACAAAATGTGTACTAACGTGGATGAGAATGTGACTGCAGAAGCATTAATTACTAGTTATTTACAGTAGGTTTTTTTTTGTTGTTGTTGTTATGTTTTGGTTTTTTGAGATGTGGTCTCTATGTTGCCCTGGCTGTCCTGGAACACCCTATGTAGGCCAGGCTACCATAGGACTCAGAGATCTGCCTGCCTCCATGAGTTCTAGGAATAAAGTCATGTGCCATCAGGCCTGGCTTATTAGTTTGAACACGTTGATAATGGCACCAGACAATACATGTATGTTAATTGGACAAAAGAGGAAATGGATATACAAGTAGAGGATCGTTATTGTGGTTCTGTTATTCCTTGCACGTCTTACGTCATTCAGATTTTATGTGCAACAAATGTCATCTGTAAAGCACTGAAGTCTATTCTCCAATTTATTGAAATATATTAATAAACTCTTTGTTCCTGTTCTCTGAAATTAAAATGTATTCATGAACTCAAGTATTAAGGTCAGTGGGTAAGGGAGCACAGATAGTTCGAGGAAACTCATGGGATGGGATGGAGAAATGACTCATCAGCAAAGTGCTTTCATTTCATGGTGAGATCCTCATCTGATGAAAAGCCAAGCAATGGTTGTGGTGCATCCCTGTACTCCTCCTATTGCTGAGGTGGCAGCGAGGAGGATTACCAGAGATCATTAGGCAGCTATTTTTGTCTAATAGTTGGGCCCAAGGCTCAGTGAAAGATCATATCATATGTGCATTGATTACTTTTGTGTAACTATGATAAAAATAAGCTACCACAACCATAAGTGAATTGTGGAAGAGTTTGACTTAGAATTGCAGCAGGATGAGTCCATCATAGCAGGGAGGTAAGGCAGCAGGAGCAGGAAGCTAAGACATCATGTCTCAACAAATAATAAGCAGAGAGTGAACAGGAAGTAGGATGAGGCTATGAAATCTCAAAGCCTGCCCCTAGTAACATCTTCTAGAAAACCCATACATCCTAAACCTCCCCAAACAGTGCTACCAA